ATGCCAAAAATATGTAACCACTGCACAGACTGCTGGTCTGTATTACTGACTGAACCTTTATCTACAATCGAGGAAATCGTTTGGAAAAAAAATAAAAATAAAACATTTTTGGATAAGCATTAGACTATGTCAGTGCAGAGACACTAGGTGGTAACTATTCACTTTGAAAGAACAGAACTTGCTTTTATCATATGGAGTTATTTCCAGCATTCCAGTTTGATTAAAACCTTTGAGGTGTTCGTATATCACCATGTGACTTACTTTTTGGCGTTTATCTTTTTTATTTACGCCAATGTTGGCAATAATTCAGATGTCTCATTTATTTAATATCCTGCAAGGCATAGAAAGCATTTATTTCCCAAAATATATCTTATGATGGCAGTTTTTAGAGAAATTCAGCATTACAAGACTTGCTCACCAATGGATCCTCTTCAGTGAATGGGTGCCATCAGAATAAGTGTTCAAACAGCTCATAAAACAACACAATAATCTACAAGTAATCCACACGACTCCAGTCCATCAGTTAACATCTTGGGAAGTGAAAAGATGTGTATTTGTAATTAACAAAGTCAAGATGTTTTTAACGTCAAATGTTTTTGCTTCTGGCTAATACAGTACAAGTCCTCTATCCATAATATTGCTTTCTCCAGTTAAAACATCCAGGTTGAACTATGCCTTTAATTCTTATGGTTTTGAATTAAATGTTCAATTAGAAGAAATTGGTAAATTGTTCAGGTCCACGTACAAAGTAAAATAAAGAGGAAAATGACTAACTCTGTACAGAACTCATTATATTTTTCTTTTAAAACAGAGATGATGACATCCGTAAGTCCTTATGGCAGCCTGTTTTTACACAAATAATCTGAGAATAAAAATAGGGATGCAATAATAATAATAAAATCCAGACGATACCGATAAGCCAATAATTTTTTTTAAATTATGACTGACAACCAGAAAATGGTCAATATTATAATTGCATACTATTTTGTCTAAAAATAAAACATTAAAAACTAACATTCACAGTGAATCACAGTGTTACAGTGTAAATTAATTTTTTTATACATTTTAAGATTTGTAAAAGATTGCATTTATTAATTATTAATGCTTTTTTAAAATCTGTAATATCACCAGATATCCCTAAGAAAAAGTCAAACCATGCGTATTTTTGACAAATTTGTTCCTGTTAAATTGTACAACCAAGCATAATAATAATTAATTGCCACACTGACACGGCAAACATTCAGCAGGGTTGAGCTGCAAAAAAAATTGTCTTAAAATATAGATAGTGGCTGATAGATAGTAGATAGATTTGTTGTGTAAATGTTTCTTGTGCAGCAAGGCCTTGACCAACATAATGCAACAGGGTCAAAAGTCACTGGTTTCAGAGATTTATTTCCTTAAAGAGACAGAGCACACTCTGAAGACATTTGCACATTTACACAGCAATGAACTTGGCTTACATTACAATGAACTGCTATATCACCAAGATATGGGAGGTAAAGCCAAACAAACAAGAGGAGAAAAACAATGCAGCTACATTTAGTGTTCTTGTGCAAAATATAACAAAATATAAATATAAGAGTATGACACCACTAGAAATTCCCACAGTTTTTGACCTCACAAATATGGCATGAAATGTAAAACATCAAGGGCAAGAAGAAGGACTTGGTCAGTTTTGTTTGTTCTCTGTAATACAGCACCATAAACAGCAGGGGAAGCCCTACTTCCATTTTTTAAGCTTGTGTAGGGAGAAAGTACATCTGACTTTAAGATTTAGTAAAAAAAAAAAAAAAGTAATTTGGGGAGAAATATAAAAAATCTGAAACCGCTTAATCCTGATTAAAGCTGCTGTAAGCATTTTTATTTACATCTCTAAAAGCAAAAATATTGTTGGTTTCCAAACTGGTCCCCTTTTTCTTTCATCTTCAGGTTTGTGACACACATCTTGTGATAGATGTCATTCCTACACTATTATTATGGCAAGAAGTGTGTTTCTTGAAAGTAGCCATGTGTTAAAAAATATTGGAGATATTTTTCTCTCTCTTGGCTAACTAACTGCAGTTTTGGCTGTTTACGCTGCCAGAAGAGAGAAGTGTTATTTCTCCTAGCAAGTGTTTAATTGTATAATTTTTTATGTTTTAAGTGAGTCACATTTCTTAGGGATCTTATTTCATATATTATTATTAGATTTTTTTCTCTCTTGGCAAACTAACAGCAATTTTGTAGCTGATTACAGAACCATAAGAGAAGTATTATTTCTCCCATAGTCAGGTTGTGAGGACAGTTTATGTGCGGTAGGCCTAATAAAAAATCACTTAAAGCAGCTATGATTTGATCCATTTCATTTTTCCTACCCATTTTAAGCATGTTTAGGGAACTGTGGCTGTGGGACAGGGATTTGAGAAATGTTTCCACACCACCCCCCGTTAACCTTTTGTCCTCTCTGTTCTTTTTGCATTCGTAAAAGGTCATTTATAACAACAGCAAAATCTCATCATAAATAATGATGGGTAAAAACACATGGTGACATTTGGTTGGAGGCCTCTCGATAACCCCTCTGCCTTTACTGTGACTGGAGTGCGTCGTGTTGACGTGTAGGTCTGCCCTAGGTGTTCCTCGCCCCGGGCTAAATCAACCACGACTAATTACTGATTGCGTTTATGCTGGTGTCAGCACATGGTTTCCATACTGACCAACAAATTAGTTTTTATCTCCAGCGATATTTTGCTTGGAGCATTATCTCATTGTTTGGGGGTATACAGGGGTAGTTCATTTGCATGGCAAATAGTCATGCAAACAACAATCATCTCTCTCAAACATGACGCACTCTGAAGAGTGGCGAGTCAGCATTCTGAGGCATTGCATCGAGCACTGCCTTCAGGCACTTTTTAAAGGAAGAACAACATTTCTTAAGGCTCTCGTGAGCATTCGCAATGTTTGAACTTGCATGGAATGGTTGAAATTTTTGGTCAACAGATGTGCGAGTTAAGGCGACAGTCTGTATTTTTAAAATAATGTTATTTTACCTTGTACAAAAGTTCTTATTTTAACCGAATAGACAAGGTCACCATAGTGACACCAAGATTAGTTGGAGCTTGCAGCCCTTACAGTTTTTTCAAAGACAAAAGTTAACCAAGACTGTGTGTTCAAAGACAATCATCTCTCTCAAACATGACGCGCTCTGAAGAGTGGCGAGTCAGCATTCTGAGGCATTGCATCGAGCACTGCCTTCAGGCACTTTTCAAAGGAAGAACAACATTTCTTAAGGCTCTCGTGAGCATTCGCAATGTTTGAACTTGCATGGAATGGTTGAAATTTTTGGTCAACAGATGTGCGAGTTAAGGCGACAGTCTGTATTTTTAAAATAATGTTATTTTACCTTGTACAAAAGTTCTTATTTTAACCGAATAGACAAGGTCACCATAGTGACACCAAGATTAGTTGGAGCTTGCAGCCCTTACAGTTTTTTCAAAGACAAAAGTTAACCAAGACTGTGTGTTCAAAGAGAACTTGAAAACATACCACAAATTACAGATAAATGGGAGCCACTTCCTGAGAAAAACCTTGGCACTCAGTTGATTATTTTGGGAATAGGGCTGGGTAAAAATATAAATTTTCCATTTAATCATGATCTTCATTTGAACAATTCCGATTTCAATTATTAAAATTGCACCACACTTCCCGTCCTACAGATGGGACAGTGTTCTGCTGCAATGACTAAAGTCATACCAAGGACTATAAGAAATAGATATATTTTTAAAATCGTTGTAAATTTAAAGAATAGAAGAGTCCACAGCAAAACTAAAATGATAACGGCACAGAGGATCATTGGAATCTCTTTCTAAACTCCTTTTTCCAGCTGATGAATGATAAAAACAATTGAGAGCCAATCAGAATCCATCATGCTCTAAAGAGCTCAAGCATTTAAAGCAGCAGACGGCAAAACTGCAGTGCACGCTTACAATAAACAGATCGTTATAGTTATCGTTCTTGGTGTGAACGGGCCTTTACTCCGATTTTGCTCACTACAGATTAAACAGCAGGGACATGGCAAAAGTAGTCATATTTTTAATGTCATAGTTACCAATGTGTCATAGTTGAGAAAGTGAGTTTGCAGTCTGTTTTGAGAATGATGCAATAAAAATGACTTTGTACTTTGGAAAACGACTTTCTATTGAGTTGTTCTCACAGGGTCGCATGCAAGAATGTTACCAGTGTAGTGAGATTCACAAAGAAATGGTTCTTATGAGCTGCGAATCAGAATCTTATTCATGAATCTTAGCCTTATTAGCGACTAACACATAGCGTGACTGGTAGGGCCAGATCTTATTTTTAGCAGGAGTGAGACAGAATCCTGTGGGAATAAATTCAAAAATTAATCGCAAACTTCTAGCATGATTCCCAAAATGAATGACGCTAATGAGTCATTTCTTTCTTGTTAATCAAAAACACATGGCGCACCTAGTGTAGAGAGATTCCTGAAACAAATGACTTGTTTTAATGAATAGCTCAAAAGATGAGTTACTAGTTTAAATTAGTCCAAAACATTCCCCTGAATATTTTACGGCCTTAACAGAGAGAATAGACAATACAACCGAAATGCTGTTTACTAAAATCAATCGGAATCACATTAAATCAAAAGTCCGAACTGAATCGAGAACTTGTGAATCATAATTAATTGGAAAATCTGTGTCAATACCCAGCTCTACTTAGGCACAAAAATGGCGATTGAATTTAAGGCATGTCAATATGAAGAATGTAAGTGTAAAGCACAACATAAGACCATCCACCAAATGGGATCATTTGTTCTACTATAGGCACTCAGTATAAATGATGTATTTGAACACTACTTACATTATCTTAACAGGGTAAAAAAAAAAACTATAAAACATCTAGAGGTCAATTTGATTGTTATAGGTTTTAAAATGTGGATTTTTGTTTCAAATAAAAATGGTATCTGTGTAAAATAAAAAAAAAATGAAAAAAACAAATTCTGCAGCATCTAAAAACAAAATATTAAAACGATCACATTGAGTAAAACATAGCTGCAAGGGTTTTACACTTTTCCGTAACACTAGCATGTTGAAAAGAACGCACATTAAGAGAGTGTTGCTTTAAGATTCACCTGTCTTTTAAAGCACTAGCTGCAAAAATCCTATTCACACATGTTCTGAACTAAAACACTGGCATTTACACTATATGTACAGCATCTACAAGTTTACAAACATACACTCTCGTATTAAAGGCCATTGCGGTTGGCATTTTGTTTTAACTTTGACAGTTTGTTTTTTCTGGCGAGACGGGGCGATCGGTTAGGATAGCTTTAGGGGAACCCAGCGAGGTCTTGAACTGTAGTGCAGGCGGGAGAGAAGATGGAATTCTTTTACTCTAGTGGAGGTTTAGGAGCTAGCATATTAGAAATAATGTCTATGAGGTGGTCTAGGCCGTAGTGGTAGCCGTCCTCTCTGTTACCCTCCACCCAGGTGGCCCTGTGGCTCAGCTCCTGCCCCTCCGGCAATGGAGTAGTCTTCCCAAAGTCTATCATCCACACTTTTGCCTGCTCCTGTTTGTCATGGACGAATAGTAGAGAACTGCCAATCACCTGAACACGAGAGATGGAAAAGTTACACACGCACGACATGGAAATGCGTTAAATGTCAGAGTCTGTTCCTTGCGTTTCGCATCTTTACAAGACTTTAAATGGTTCATCACAAATCCATGTGGAAACATGACACAATAGACACCAAGATCCTGTTTCCATTATATTTGTGCAGCAAACATACGCTCACTTATTAAACAGCTATAACTCAGCCCTGTTTTTCCACCATACAGTTTGTTTTTGTTATCTAATAATGCGAATAAACAAGGCTCTGTGTTTGCATAGCCTGTTCTACCTCCTTAGAGTTCAGACAACAAAGTTCTGACACCGACCATATATTAAGTGTATCTAGCATATTTGTCTTTAAACCCCATTAAAAGAGGTTGTGTAATGCTTTGCATACAACCAAGTTGCTATTCTGGCTTTCAGCATCCAGTGTAATCAGATAATTACTTCAGAGCTGGTCTTTGCATAGATGCTGTTGTGTATTATTATTTTTCCACATTTTCACATGCTCTTATCACATGGGTGGGTAAATGGTTGCATTTGTAAGTGTAGCTAATGTGTCTTAAGATGATAAACAAAAGAGTGATTGTTTACCTCGTGTGTTTTGAAAAACGGTGACATTTCCAAAGTGTCCCTGATCTCTTTTAGTCGGTTCAAATAGGAATGCTGAGGGAAAAGAGACAAAGTGTAAGTGACTATAAAACTATGAAAATACAAACAAATAAGTGTGACAAGTATTTAATCAGAATAATATTGTCTGCATGTAATAAAAAAATATACAATCTATTGAGAAAATAAGACTTTTATTTTCATTAAATCTATTTATGGGTCAAAGAGGAGGCATCCCATTTTGGTGTCTGCATCAAATGAATTTTAAAAAAATAATTTTATATACATAGAATGTATACTGAATGCAAGTAAAGCATCTACTTTAATATTTCAAATAACTTTTGTAACAAAAAAAAATAAAATCAAAATATGGGTGAAACCTAGTGGTTTGAAGGATATAGTGGCAAATATTGGTAAAGATTTAAAATTACAATTGATTAGTTTTGGGGGGCTGCAATGTGATCCATAAATAGAGCCTTTTAAGGTCATCTAATGATTCTTGTTCTAAACATGCCTTACAAAAAATGTTGGTATATAAACTATTGTTACACTGAATGACATTTTAATAGGTGTCTTTTGTAAATCATGGTAAAAAAAAAGTATGATAGTCATTATTTTTGTTAAATCTCTGTGAAACTTGTATTGTTTTGGTGCTTGAAATTGTATTTTAAAAAATATTGTATTTTTATAAAGAAAAAAAATATATATATATACATATATGTGAAAAGAGGATATCAAGATATGTTTTATCCTTTTTTGAAGAGTCCAACTTATGGAAAGTTATTTTAAAATGTGTTACTTTACAGTAATGTTCTATATGTTAACATTAGTTAATTGCTAAAATGAAATATAACTTTCAGCAATTATTCATCTTGATTAATGTTAATTTCAACATTTCCTAATACATTTTTAATATTTAGAATTTTTAAACTAACATTATTTAAAGTATGTAGCATGAGCAGTATTTATTTATTAAAATGAACATAGATTTATACATTCTAATAAAGTTGTTGTTCAAAAAATATGTTTATATACATGCAATAAATGGAGGAGAAAAAAAACATTTTTAAAGGCGAATTTTGGTGAATCACTGATTTCCTCATGAATATTTGCATACTAAACAGATTTAAACCAACATTTCAGTGTCTCCCCTACATGAGTCATTACTTATTAATGTGCTATCAGATCATACAGTACCATGCTCTGTTCTAATTTACACCACAATAATTACATTAATTCAGCATTTAAATCGGCGGTGGTTAATTATACATTCATTGTGGAAATAAAAGCAAGTTTATCTGTAAAATCGAAAGCACATTGATTTATCAGATGAATCACAGAGCATTTAAGAGAATCAGGATGCACATATAGTTCCAGGACACACTGTGGACAAACATAGGGTTAAATAAATGCTCCATAAGAAGCCAAGGACAGGTTCTTTGGAACTGTTTGTCTATAAGGCTGAACTTTAAGGAAACACCCCCGTTACAACATGGGAATCCTACCATGCAATAAACTTTCTTTGTGCTAGGTGCTTTTTAATATTTAAACCCATTAAGATTACATTTACAGTACTTTGATGTCACAAGAATACACATGACAGTCATGTGTCAACTACAGCATTATGCAAAGCGCTTTGTATTTGCATGTGTGTATTTCTCTGTAATATATTCAAGTTTGTGTGCAACTCGAAGAGTGGTTTTCCCTGCCAGTAGGTGAGCTTTCGCTGGTTTCAAACAATATAACCCTGAAGGGGCTGCACCACACAAAGGAAACCCTTAGTTTCACAAACCGCCCTGGGGGGGGTAAATGAGAGAGTTTAGCTCCACCTGTCACTTGCTTCCCCTCCGTGTGCCACAGGAGACTTAATAATTGGCAGAAGGCCCTAAAGCACATAAACACACGAGCACACACTTACCAGGATGTTTTTGTTTCCTTTGACGAAGTCTTGGAAGGCCTCAGTCACTTGTTCTCGGGTCTTAGTCTTTTTAAAGTCCCTGTTTACTGTTCCATCCTCATTCTGTAGAAGGGAAAGGGAAGAAGAATTGATTGTGCTGGTCAAAAAAAGATCAGAAACATGAAACCAACTCCGGTTCTGCATCAGGGCACATGTTTGATACATTTGTGCCAACACAGACCAATTGTTGAAAAACTATTTCTAAGTCGTGAGGTTTTCATAAGTCATGTTTTCATATGCAATTGTGGTCTGTACACAAAAAAAAGCATGTTATGGAAACTATGGAAGCCCGTTTCTCCCACTGAATAAAAAATAAAAAAGTTTTCTCGCAATTGCACGTTTACATCTTTACATCTTCTCAGAATTGCGAGTTATAAAGTCAGAACTGCAAGATATAAACTTGCAATTCTGAGAAAAAAGTCAGTCTTCTTCCTCAGAATTGGACTTTATCACTTTTAATCGCAAGATTATATCTCACAATTTTGAGAAAAGAAGGGATATAAACTTGCAATTCTGACTTTTTTGCAATTGTTTGTTTATATTTCACAATTGTGAGACAAAAAGGTCAAAATTATGAGATAAAAAGTCACAATTACCTTTTTCATTTTTTATTCAGTGGCAAAGCGGGCTTGCATAGGAAAAACTGCACAATCAGTTCTTAATAAGTAATAAAAAGAAGTTAACTTTTTCGTAAGTAAATAAATAAGCCCCAATGCTAAATTGTTCTGAATGGTTACCAGGACATTGTTATCCAGCTGCTAAGGTTGGAGTGATTTTCAGAGTGTTGATATCGCTAGGGTGTTCTGGGAGGTTTCTGGGACATTACAATGCAGTTTCTAGGGTATTCTGGGTGGTTGCTAGGTGGTTACTAAGGTGTTTTGGTGATAAGTCATTGCTAGGGCGTTGCTATGCAGTTGCTAAGGTGTTCTGAGAGGGTTGCAGAGTGCTGCAGTTGCTTGGGTGATTTCTAGGTTGTTTTGGGTGGTCGCTAGGGCCAGGGCCGGATTTACGCATAGGCATTCTAGGCATGTGCCTATGCTCGCTCGTCCAGGGGAGCCCAAACACAATAGAGGTATATAATAATTTTGTTATACTATGGGCTATCTACAACAGTAAAAGAAACAAAACCCCAGAAGACATTGAGCAAATAAATATAACAAACAATAGGGTAAAAAATGACAAAGTATTTCCATGTCTTCCACCTTTTTTATGTAGGCTACTGAAATAACGCTTTCTTTCTCTCATTCTCTGACGCACACACACGCACTCGCGCACACACGCGGAGATGTGACCAGAAACATGTTGTCAGCGCTGCCCCGCGAATTTATCAATAAAATAGTTTCGCAGCTGAAAAGCTACATGACTTTTCTCAGTAGCGAGGTTCTTGGAGCAGTTTAATCTCTCTCTCTAAGTGCGTTAGACTGCATTAATAACTGCATTAGCCTGCATATCAATGGCTCAAGCCTCTGTTATTAGCTCTAAAATGACGTTTTGGAATTTCCAATGGAAGGTTTTTGTAAAATAGGCTACGTAAAAAATTTGTTCAACACACACGAGATTTCAGGACGGAAACACGGCAAATGTCTTGAAATAAATCATCTTAACAATGTCTTGATGTGTGGTTGTGACTCCAGGCCATTAAAATTATTAGAGAGATAATGCACTCCTGAAGTTGTTATGTGGCCACGATGCTGCACCTATTAATGGAATGGTCTTTCTCAGTTCTCAAATTACATTCGATTTTTATTGATTGAACGCAAGCGCTTATTGCGATAGAAAACACTGTAACGGTTTCTACTGATTAAGAAATATTTTTGTTTGCTTGGGTGGTAGCTAAAGTTAGGCCTATTATATTAATAGGGAAGGGGGGCCCAAAAATTTGTTTTGCCAATGTCACGAAAAGAGGTAAATCCGGCCCTGGCTAGGGCATTACAATGTAGTTGCTAAGGTGTTCTGAATGGGATGCAGAGTGTTGCAGGGGTATCTTAGGTTGTTTATAGGGTGTTTGCGAAGTCTTGTTTAATTCTTTTGTATTAGTATAATAATACTATTTAAGTATTTGCTGAAATAAGTATGACCCATAGTAATAGTGATGCTTGCCTTCCAAGGAAACGTAATATTGATGGACTGCTGGCAAATTAATGTGCTTCTAAGTTAAGACAATAGTCACAACAGGCAGCTCAGCCACAGACATAACAGAAGTCTGCCTATTATTCAGGAAATACTTTATTTAGAGCCACCCAGGGCATCCCCCATCTGCGAAAAAAAGAGAAAGATGGGGAGAACCTGACCTTTGTGCAAATGGAAAGAGCAAAAGGGGAACCAATCTTTCCCTATTCATGCAAGACATCTACAGAGCTCTTGTTAACAAAGATGTATTATGGAAAATCATGACAGAGACCAAACATAAGCTTTCTAATCTCCTCTTCCGTATGTTAATGGAATTGTGGCTGCCTGGTTTGACTTAATTAGCTGAAGTTTTGTCGAGCATCTCTTATGTCTTTTTGACATTTTCCATGAGGGTGTATTTACGTTATTAGGGCCGTGTGCAGTAGGCCGGAATTACAGAACTGAAATCATGTTGTGAGAGCCATGGCCTGTCACTGACTGATGTTGAGCTCAAAGAACGTGCCACAAACAGGCCGTGTGTATGACAGGAACATTCAGACACAATCAACCTCTTGAAAAAGGCCAATCCTGCCCCTTCACCTCAGTCTGAAATCCGGGATCTAATTAAAAGACGCATGGGTTCAAGGCTGCCTTGATTCCCCAGATAAAAACAGCACTGAACTTCCAAAATCTCATGATTCAAGTTAAGCTCAAACAACAGCATTTGTTGTGGCATAATGTTTACTTTCACAAAAAAAATAATTTGCCTTAAAGGGGTCATATGATGCGATTTCAATTTTTCCTTTCTCTTTGGAGTGTTACAAGCTCTTGGTGCATAAAGAAGATCTGTAAAGTTGCAAAGACTAAAGTCTCAAATCCAAAGAGATATTCTTTATAAAAGTTCAGAGTCAGCCACAACACCGTTCTCGACCCCGCCGTCTCAGCTCACGCTAGCCCAGCCTCAGTTCACTCTATCCCGGCCTCAGCTCACTCTATCCCGGCCTCAGCGCACGCTAAGCCGGGGCTTCCCCTCACGCTAGGCCGCTGTGTTTTTCGTTG